TAATTCTATAGTACCGCTTACCACCTTATGAATAAATAATAATAAATAATAATTATACAAATCTATTAACTTTAAATTTAAAAAAAAAATGTTTTCTTGTTTTTTTGTATGAGAAATCTGATATCAAAATGTAGCCAATTTATAGCCATTTTTAAAAAATTTTAGCCATTGTCATCGCCAGTCGCCAAATCGTATATTCATTAGCCAAAGTGATAATAAATGTAGCCACTTTGGCGAATTATCGCCACATCTGGCAACCCTGTGCCTACAATCGGCCAAATGACGTGACTACTAGCGTTTACAGCGTTATCCGATCTAACTATCCACGCGTCCGCAGCGCCTTGTAGCGGCACCCGATTATTACCGCGCCACCGAAAAACCGGCCAGTGAGCAATCTATAGTATTTATAATCAATGATAATACTTATGTGGAATTGACACGGCTACGGCGATGTTGATCGACGCAGTCAGCCGGTCGTCGGGTGTGGAGTGGAAGTAGGGTGACACAAACGACACTCGCACTTGAAATTAAGGTACACGTATTTTGGTGTGATATGGCCTGTGGCCGCTTTATTATATCAATATTCAAAGTTTTGAAATCAATGTTAGATTAAGTAATCTGGTAGTCAAGTCAACGGATGTCACATATAACGGTGAAACGGTCGCCGGCGTGGCTTTCGGATGACGAGCGGTATGTCTCCGGTGCGGTGGTACGTAGCCGTGATGGAGTCGTTTCGACGGTTGACGTAAGAGAGAGGCGCCGCCGGCGGCCGGTACTCGTATTGCGCGCCTTGCCTTCCCGTCCCACCTTGTGCCTTTTAGGCGCGGTGGGGGAGTTGGCGTTAACGCGCTGTAGCCCGTTGTGGTGGTTGACAAAAGCGTAGACCGGTCGCTGCGGTACCTGTACTTTGTACTGGTGGCCGCTGCGTACCGCGTCAGAATATTGACATATTTTATATATTATATTACATATTCAAGTTTTATGTATACAATTTAAACATTTTATAAACATTTAACTAAAAAAAATTTGTTTCGTGGTATAACAATTTATTCATTTTTAGTTTGCATTTTTTTTTGCATTTCTTGCATTTTTTCAGTTAGTTGCATTTTATTGCATTTTAAGCTCATTTTTACAAATATTACGTTCATTTAGTGTATTTAAACTATTTTTTGTTTATTTTAAGTTTTTTTGATATGTGTCGTATAAGATACCTCAATTAGTACCTATAGTGCCCTTATAAAAATAGTAACTTTAAACTTTTATCGATAACATAGCATAATATTACCGCTGTATAGCCGTTGTGTATAAAATTATTGGGGCGTCGTTCACTACCGCACACTTTCAAAAAAAGGTCTTCGTTCAAAACCTGCGAACTTCAATTAACATACGTGAAGTTTGCCCACTCACTTTGGCTTGGCGACTCAAAATCTTCACCAAAATTTGCGAGCCCACTTTTAGAATTTGCGAGTTGACCCTTTACTCACAAAATCCAATTTTTGACCTTGAAGTTGGCCATGTTGTCCCATAACTTTAAAATTAGTATCAAACAGATTGTATGTAGTCATTAATAAGTAAATCATAAAAAATTATGTTTTTAGCCTATGGAGAAAGGATATATTTTATAATACCTATACAGATTAATTAATGCTTAATATATATTATCATAATTATTATAAAATCTACTTTTGCCTTAGTTTCTAAATTATATTATTGGTTTATTGGTATTTAAAAAATATTTGTACGTTCATACCACTTACAGGGTTAATTATGTGTTAAATGCGTATTTATGCTCAATACTTTACCTTATTATTCTCTATGATTGGCAATAAACTTTACCTGTATATTAGTCGAGTAATACAATACTTAAATAAGAGTACTTATTATGCAGAGAACGTAAAAAACAATCGTAAAATAAAACGTTAATTCATAATAGCAATTTCGCTGACTCGGGTTGATTGACTTCTGCTTCGTATGGTATTTTAATATTTTATAATTTCGTTATATATACAACAATACAACATGTAATACACAATATATGGTACTTTAGGTACAAAATGCAGTATAAATAAATAAACATGTTCAGTGGCCTATTATTATACTTGACTTGAGAGAATTTTTGAGATAAATAAAAAAAAATATACGACACTAAACTGAATCGCCCACAAGTCTTACTATATTTTTTTACGATCTATAAATATATATTTCGAATTAGTGGAAAATATGTATCTATTTAATGTATGTACTCGGTAGCCGGTGCCCGTCTAATATTGAGAGTCATCTTAGTTACACTCATTCGGCATTCCCAAAATTCCTAATATTCTGGTGAGACGTTAAAGACTAGGTTTTAAAACTAAAAATATAAAATAAAAATAATTATTTATTTACACTTAAGTATCTATAGCGAGATTAATTCAACAGATTATTAATATAAATAGTTATAAAAGTTTGTCGTTTGACTGACATTTATTTTTGAAACATTTTTGTGAACATAATTGGTAAATGGTTTTTATTAATTACATGGTTTATTATAATATGACATCATCTTTTTTCATTATCATTATTTTGATATAAGTAGGTACTTATATAAAACGTACCTATTAAATATTATTGGAGGTGGGTCAAACTGTTCTATGTTTGATAATTGAACCGAACGCATAGGTGTTAATTTAAGATTGAAAGCCAACCTAGTTATAAAAACAAACAATCTGACTGAACACAAAAATCAAAAACCCTTTTCGATGTATAGTTTTATATTTTTACTGTATTGTCTATTGCCGATTTTATATATGAAAAAACAACAGTATACTGGTTGATTATTAATAACCTCATCCTACACCCCAAATATCAATATGACAGTCGCCCGAATTAGGTACATCAATAAAAACAATTTAGCTATACCTAGTAAGGTAATTAATATATTTTTGTTTAATCACACTATGTACAATTAGTGTATAGAAATTCATAGATTTAATTATTTAAATTGCATCGATCAAAATATCAAAAAAATATTGTCATTAGTATGAGAAAAAATAACATTAACACAAAGAATTAACGAAATCGTTCTTTATAACCTGTTAAATATGCATTAATTTGCAAAATTACATTTTGTATTTAATTTTTTTCTTCATTGGTTGAATGTAGACTTATCATAGGTATCAAGTTCATCGAAGGATTGTTAAAATATGGCTCAACCGAATGTTCCTAATTTGTGTCTTAAATATGCATTAAAGTACCTACCTCGGCATCTATCACGTTTCACTGTTCATTTTTATGTCCTTAACATCAACTTCAACTATTTAGCTATAATGAACCACTTCGGAGATAAAAGGCGAACGCCTGTATGCAGACATAAATATCCAAACTTAAATTTATTAATACCTAATAATATACTATAACCACATTGCAATCATTTTTAAATGATGCGTCATTTAGTTGTAGGCAGGGTTGAAAGTGAGAAAAAATTCTAAATGGGACTAATGTCTCCATATAGTTTTAAGCGTTCCATATATAATTTTATGTATAATGTCTAAAGTATAAAATCCTAATTCGTTAAAGGGAACGCTTTTTAACTGCCCTCAGAGGTAGTGGGACTAAGTCCTCCGGCGCCCCTCTATTTTAACTCCTGGTTGTAGATAATATTATGATGCATATTATGCAAACATTATCTTGGTTTCGAGCAAATTATATTCTATAAAAATAATTGACATTGTGTTAATGATTAGTGGTCAAATATTTGCACTAATAATTACTTTTTATTTAATAATAATAGGTATGAGACAATATTTTTTTGATTAGGCTATATTACAATTTTATTTTTTATTGACTACTCACACTTTATTTCGGAAGTTTGTCTTACTTGATAAACATTTTAAATGATAACGCTCTTATCCCTTTGTATGAGCCCGATAGTACATACCATATACAAATAATAAAACATTATGCAAATACCCATATAGGTTTATGATAGATATTATATCTAAATTGGCGGCGAGTCCATGCCATATCGCCCCCCGGATCTGTGCAGGTTGTCGGGGGTAGTATTCTACATGCTTATAAATTGGGTACCGAAGCTGTAAAAAAAATACATCAGGTTTTTAATTTTTTATTTACATCGTGGCTTTCATATATTTTGTATGTGTGTGTGAGCTTTACGAATACAATGTAGAATACATTGACCTCTCACAATGTATAACTTATAATCCCAAATAGAAAAACTCAACTACACATTGACAGACAGGCGCACGTGTATAAATCGTAGACACTTTCAACTAATTGTCTTTTTAAAATTTAGCAACAGCAACTCTTCACTGCAAACACGTGAGCCGCCATATCAAAGGAGCCGACACCACGCAAAAAGGAGCCTGGAGCACAGCGCTATTCAATATATATTAGACACCAAGATCTTAGCACCTTAGCGTCTTTTCGTCATTCAACACACACGCTATTTTACATTACTAAATTTTTTACAAAATAACTGCCATTTTCAATTCACTTAGAAATCGTCTACACTTGTATTACTAAAAAGCATTGTCATTTATACTGCCGATAGAACGTTCACAACAATTTTAAAAATTAATGATCAATTAATAGGTAAAAATTTGGCTGCAAATGTTCAGGATTTACAAATTTTATAATTGTTAATGAATATATTATGTATTATTCAACATAGCTTGAAATTCACGGCAATTAGTTCTGTCTCAAAAAAACCACGCCCTCAACTCCGCTTTGTTGCAAGACAACTACGACACTCATTTTGACCTAATTGATGTTTTTTGTACTCGATTCGGTAACAGAATAGTTCGTATAAGATACATATGATAATTTTTACAATTTCTAAACGAATTATTTTTTCTGTTTGCAATTCTATAATATTTTTTTTGTGTGATATTTAATTTATGTCTCTTACACCAAATTTTTTTTAATATTTGTTTATACAATGGGCATGGCCACTGCAGATAACCGATAAACGACTGATTTTATTGTACATTATACTTATTATTTATACAGTGTGTCCCGTTTTAAATGTACCACTAAATATCTCAGCCCGATAATCTTAGATTGAAATACGGTTTGCTGCAATAGCTAAGGGGTACTGAAGTACACATTTAAGGACAAATTTCAAATTTTTAACTCTTGTAGTATGCGCATGCGCAATACAAATTTTTTTTTTTTAAATTGCAACACCTATTTTTCTCACCGGATATGGATAGATTATTTTATTCTAAGTAATTTTGATCCATTGACCATAGTTCTAAACCTAAAATTGAATGTGTTACAGCTTTTTGAAATTTTAAAATAATTAAATTTTTTCGATTTTACCAAAAACATTACACGCTTGAATTTGATACAAAAGTAAATCATTTTTGAACTAAAATGAAATGCATTTAAATAATTGAATACAAAATCACCTAAAACAAAATGCCTAGCTAATTTAAATTTAATTAATTTAAAAATAAATGTACCAATTAAATTGACACTGACGTTGTAATTTGCGTTATTATTGTGCGATAAAAGTTATTGAATTATTTCCAGTTTTATTATTAGTACTTCGATAATATTATTGTAGATATTGTTTGATTATCAAAAATGAACTAATGCACGTTCCCTCAGTATTGTACGTTCATCGATGACACTTATAACTTTTAACATAATACTTTGAAAGATTTTTCTTTTTTTCTTCTTTAAAATGTTAAACAATAGTGAAAAAGTTGATATGATTTTAATTTATGGTGAGTGTAATAAACATTGTCGGGAGGCTGCAAGGGTTTATGCAAATCGATATCCCGAAAGATATCATCCACCGCATAATTTTTTTTTAAGATTAGTTAATAATTTACGAACTTACGGGACTTTTTCGATAAGAGATGCACAGAGACAACCACTACGCAATATGGAACCAAATGATGATCAGAAAAATGAAGTAATTGCGTACATTCAATTAAATCCTCACTCATCTTTAAGACATGTTGCTAGAGAATTTGGCTTTTCAAAAACAAAGGTACACAAAATATTCAAAAAATACAAGTTACATCCTTATAGGGCTGATCTAGTTCAGCATTTACGCCAAGGTGATGACGAACGTAGATTAACATTTATTGCATGGATAACAACATGTATAAATAACGACCCATTATTTTTAAATTACATTTTGTGGACCGACGAATCAAAGTTTACCAATAATGGTGTTTTAAATAAGCAGAATAACCGTTATTGGTCAAACGGAAATCCACATTGGGCAGTTGATACAAATTATCAAACAGTATGGGGCACAAATGTGTGGTGCGGATTATTAGGAGGACATTTAATAGGTCCACATTTTTATGACGGTACTCTTAATGGAAGACGTTATTCAGATTTCTTAACTTTGCTACCGATCATGTTGGAAGATGTCCCTTTATTACTTCGTCAAAACTTATTTTTTCAACAGGATGGAGCACCCGCTCATAATGCCATTATTGTAAGACAACAATTAAATGAAATGTTTGGAAATCGATGGATGGGAACTCACGGGCCAGTGGAATGGCCCCCACGGTCACCTGATCTAACACCATTAGACTTTTTTTTATGGGGCCATTTAAAGACTGTTATTTATGCAGATCCACCAGCAAACTTACAGGATTTAAAAAATAAAATAACGGTAGCGTGCAGACAATTAACAAAAGAACAAATTTTGGCAGCACCCTATAGAGAAGTGAGTCGTCGACTGGAATTGTGTTTAGAAAAAAATGGAGGAAATTTTGAACATTTTATTAGATAAAAAAAATAAACATAAGTCAAATCAATGTAACGGAGTAATTTTAATTTAATTCCTACTTCACATTCTTAATTAAAATCTATGAAAAAATCACTCAATTCAAGCGTGTAATGTTTTTGGTAAAATCGAAAAAATTTAATTATTTTAAAATTTCAAAAAGCTGTAACACATTCAATTTTAGGTTTAGAACTATGGTCAATGGATCAAAATTACTTAGAATAAAATAATCTATCCATATCCGGTGAGAAAAATAGGTGTTGCAATTTAAAAAAAAAAAATTTGTATTGCGCATGCGCATACTACAAGAGTTAAAAATTTGAAATTTGTCCTTAAATGTGTACTTCAGTACCCCTTAGCTATTGCAGCAAACCGTATTTCAATCTAAGATTATCGGGCTGAGATATTTAGTGGTACATTTAAAACGGGACACACTGTATATAATGTCTGAGTTATTATTATTATCACACACCTTTTTCATGGTTTTCGTTTACACACGAGGATAACAAATAGTTGTTGACGTTGGAATATACTTAAGCCTGCGGTATACCTTACAGAAATTCGGGTCGAAAGACGTCGATATGTAGAATATTACATACAAATATGTTTCGGTTCTTGAAAATATTATTATCCGTTTATTCACATTAACAATTTGTTTAATAGTTGACTTATTAGTTGTCTTACAATTATTTTTTGTTTTATGTATAGGTATTTATCTTGTTTGTATTCCGTTTATTAATATTAAATAAATCAATATCCTATGCATAACTATTAGTGACAATTATTATAGAATAGATGATTTTTCGTTTGTAATAAGTTCTCATTTTTTGGTTAGTCATATAGAGCATGGTTCTCAATTTTCTTTTACGACCCCACTGTCATTAAGATCCATAAATATGGTGACACACTAAAAACATTTAATGGATTTTTAAAATGTTCATAATCTATAAGCCTATAATTATTATAGGTATATTATATAAGTTGAGAATCAGACCATCTTCACAACAGTTTTTCTTATGTGTCTTTTGACCATCACATCATAACACTAAAATAATATCATATACCATAGGCGAACCATGGGGGGGGGGTTACTTAGCACCCCCCAAATATTTTAATAGACCCCCGAAATCAAAATTTTATTATTGATATTATTTGTTTCAATAATTATCTGTTAATTTTTTTTCGAAAATTAGCTCACGTAGTCACGTGGTCATGACTGATCTGACGATAGAAACGGTGACATAATAATAATAATAGTTTTGTTTTCAACGTATTTGCAAAAAAAATTAATAGCAATGATATTTTAAATATCTTTGCTGATAAAAACAGATATTTGTTATTAAAATAAAATTAATTATTAATTATTTTTAAATATATTATATTTTTTTTTTTATTATAACAAACATTTATATTTGTATTAGTAATATTATATACTTATGTATATAAAGGGGGTGCGGGGGTGAACATTTACATTTACCTTTTATTGTTATAGCCCCCCTAAAAATTTAACCAAATGCCCGCCTATGTCATATACGCTGTTTACTATTACAGAAAATAGTGTGGCATCCGTTGTACTTTGGTGCGTCTAGGAAACGTTGATACATCATTTAGTAGCATTACATTGTTATTTTATAATGTAGGTATCATATTCATATTAATTGTTCAATTTGTTTATAGGTTTTTTGAATTCACAATTTATTATAATAATTATATATTTTACCAAAATAAATATTTGTAATAATAATTAACATATCTTTGTTGTATGTGTGTGACGATTTAACTATTTATTTTATTTATCACACCAATTATTATTTTGATTCACATATCATTATTATTTCATAATATTCATATATTATTATCTATATGTTTGGTTAAACTGTTTTCTTTTGATATCTACTTGTAAAATATATATAGGCTGATAAAACTAAAAAATAAATTTTTACCTGAACCTTTTAATCTTGACGATAGGTCACCCGTTATAACGCGTTCAAAAAATAAGAATACTGATTTAGTAAACGCAAATAAAATAAGCACAAAAATCGAAACTTTAAACATGTCTAAATCAATTTTCTTTAAACCTGAATTTTATAATGGTGAACCTTAAGGATGTGTCAACGACTCTATTGAAAATTATAATTTGATATCCGTGGCTAATGAGTGGTCGGAGGATTAAAAAAATTATTTATTTCCCAATTTATCTAAAAACAAATGCAAAAGCATACTATTAAAATTGTATAATATGTAATCTAGAACAACATGGAGTCTTTGGAACTAGCACTGGAATATTTCATTTCGCCGGGAAGAACCAGAATGCTTAAAGCAAAATTATCAAACCGAAAATTAAAGTTAAACGAAACAGGTTTGCAATTCTTATCAGATTTTCACAAGGCCGTAGCTAGGCACTGGCAAGATGGCATTTGCCAGGGGCACAATTCTACGAAAGGCGCAATTTCATCGAATGGCAGTCTCAATTTAAATATGATAATTAACAAAAAAAAAAAATCCGCCGTTTATTTTTAGCGTTATCGTAACACGTTTCTCGTTGCGCAATCGCATAATATTGGAAACCACGCTATTCTAGTCACCACAGCTGCATGTGAAAAAAACTTCAGTAAGCTGAAAATCATAAAATACTATTTAAGATCTACGATAACCAAAATCGTTAACAAGTATATCAATTTTGTCTATTGAAAAAAGTTTGGCTGACCAAATATCAATTTTTGTTTTAATCTGTTATTATTATTTAATTATAATACATAATACAGCAATTTTCGTAATAATAAAAAATATTTATGTAACAAAATAAATATAGTATACTTGTGCTGCAATCAATAGTGGTTTTTTTTTAATAATGAGCATGGTAGTTGAAAAAAAATTATATTGTGGGGGGGGGGGTGGAGCGGCAAATTTGGTTTTCTGTCAGAGGCGCTACTTGTTTTTCCTGTTCTGGACCATAAGGTTAACTCAAATATGGAGGAATCGGAGAAAATCAGTCTTATACTAGAAGCTCTTCCTCCATATTTTTATGACCTAGTCGTATTAATGAATAATAATACGCTTTCTGACTTACAAAATAATTTGCGTAAAGTAGAATCCGCAAAACCAACAGTTAATGAACGAAATATCACTCACAATTTCGATGCTCTTAAAGTAGAAATAGAAGTTTTAAATACAAAATTAATAGAACAAAATGCTTTTGTTGCTAATCAATTATCACGTCATAATAATAATTCAAATATTTATTACAAAAGATATATTAAAAATAATAATAGTTATCGATATAATGAGGAAAGAAACTTAACTGACAAAATTATTTTAAAAATAAGAAGTTTAATAGAAATAACTATACTAAAAGCCAAATACAATTTTCCCAAATGGACAAAATTTTAAAAGTAACAATTTTTCGGGTAGTCAAAATCGTAATGTAGGTTATTGAAACAACAATAATTGTAATAAACCATACGCGAATAAATATACACCCGTAAATCATGATGAAAATAAAAGTAAATTTAGTAATCAACAATATCACAATAATTACGATGATCAAAACTTTCGTAATCTCAATAAATCAAATTAAGGTGACTCGAATGAATACAATGATTCTTCGAATAAAAAACAATTTAACAATCAAAAAACCGCATAAGTCATGAGATAGGCGTTAGGCCACCTCATGACAATTTTGTAGAAAATGCTAACTGTAATAAACAAAAAAAATTAAATAATATAAATATTGATCGAATTTCTAGTTGTTCTGAAAATGTTGATGAAAAACTTATTTCAGGTGTTAGACTTGAAGTAAGAGGACTTATAAATAATATAGAAACATCTTTTATATTTGATTCTGGTGCAACGATTTCTGTTATTAATAAAGTACAAGTAATTGTAGGAGTTGCATATGATTGTATAATTGTATATGTTCTAAATGTATAGCATACAGAGCTAGAAATTCGATCAGTTCAAATATTCAAAGCTGAGTTTAAAAAGCGAAAATGTCAGATGCATATTCATATTTTCTGCATATTTTGTTAATTTTATGGAAAAAAGTGCATATTTCTTGATTTTTATACTCAATATTAAACAGAATATTTAATATTTCATAAATACAATTGATCTTTTCCTTTCTTTTTTAATAATAATATTGAATATAAAACTAAATAATATTTAATGTAGATATTTATTATTATCGTCTTAGTCAATTATTACCTATTTATTTAGCATTTTGATGATATACATTTAATCTCTATCGCATAAACTCATATTCTGATGTAAGTACTATCTTTTCGAATATATATATTTTTAAACTATTATTGCTGTTCAATAGAATGTCGAAAAGCTAATAATTTTCTTCCATATTTGAAATATTATAAACTAATATTTACATTTATTTATGTTTTAGTGCAAATTAATAACAACATACAGTTTTTTTTTCTGGAATTTTGAATAATTTTGAATTTTAATTTAATATTTTTGCATTAGTATTTGAAATTTTGCCATGCATATTTTAAAATTTTGTCTTAAAAATGTTATTATTATTATTATTATTATTATTAATATTATTATCTTTTAGCGCCTATTACTTCCAAGCCCTACTAATTATACATTTCTATATGTATTTTTTTAACTATATAAAAGCAGTAATACTAGAAGTCAAGACTATAATATCAAGATAATAAGTCATAGAATTATGTACCAAGAACAAGTCCAGTAAATTCTCAGTTGCCCAATTTAAAATATAACTATCGTCAATCACGATCAAGAAGAATTGTAGAGTGTACTTTTGGTATTCTAACCCAGCGGTTCCCAAACTTTTACGACCACGGCACCCTTAAAAAATTGTTTGTGTTTCGCGGAACCCTAATGTCTAATCCAACTCAACTACAATTTTTGTAAATTAAAAAAGGAAAATCAATTCCTTAAACTCTCAAGTCCAAATAATATTTTAATGATACTGTTAATGACTTTTCATTATTAAACTTAGTTTAAAAAAAAATTTTCAATCAAACATTTTTTAAACAACAAACATTAAATAAACATAATTTTCTCAATAATCTCATACATCTAACGGAACCCTTGACATTGTCCCACGGAACCCTAAGGTTCCGCGGAACACACTTTGGGAAACGCTGTTCTAACCAAACAATTTGACGTATTTGAAAATAAAATGTTAGTTAATCCGGAAAAAGCTACAACCATAACTCAAGCTGCTTGTGTACTTCACAATTGAATTATGGACAAAGAACATAATTTAACTGACATTCATAATGAAATGGAAACAACATCATCACTGGTAAAGCAAGAATACATCATCAACAAACCTACAAATCGCAGACCACCAAGAGAAGCTATATAAGCTTTTTATATCTATATATTCGTAAAAAGGTTACGACTTATGAAATATTTCGACTCTGAAAAAGGATCAGTTCCATTGAAAAATGTATATACTGTTTAAATACCTATGCTAAATTTGTTTGTATTAAATAAATAATTTTTTTAAATAAAAAAAATAGTTGTACTGTAAAAAGTTGACGGCACACATTTTTAACAACACCCTTAGTAAAAAAAACTATTACTATTTAATAGTTAACTACTGTAATAAGTAGTTTTTGAATAGTTAACTATTTAATAATGTATAGTTTACTATTACAACTAATAGTTTTTGAATAGTGAACTATTTAATAATGTATAGTTTACTATTACAACCAATAGTTTTTGAATAGTGAACTATTTAATAATGTATAGTTTACTATTGAACAAGTAGTTTTTGAATAGTGAAATATTTAATAATGTATAGTTTACTAATACAGCAAATCATTTTTGAATAGTTAACTATTAATTAATAATGTATACCGTAAACCGGGGATACTTTGGCCCCGGGTGGTAACTTTGTCCCACCGTTGAAATTTCACACACTTTTGTATGCTGTGATAAGACATTTGACTATTATCAAAATGTTGTGATGGTTTTCGATAGTTGACAACACTAATAACCGAATATGATAACAGTTTTTGCCATTATCACTTGCCTTGTTATCAAAAAAAATTATGTTTGTCATAACCGTTTTTCGACGCAAAAAAACGCTTTCAAAAACTCTTAACTCGTACTATATGAAATAATCGTCGCTGGACTCAGTAAGACTGATACATTTTCACAAATATAGTACTTATAAAGAATTTATTAAGACATTTGAAATAAAAACAAATGTGTGGCTGTAAACTTACATTTTCGGGGCCGGGGTAACTTTGTCCCACTATTATTTGTTAGTGATAACTGATAGATAAAATGTGAGTAGATACCGAATTTTTTTTTTACATTTTTTGGCATTATTATGTTATTTTAATGTTTCAAATGGTCTTTTGAGGTACTAAAGGTATAACCTACCTACTTTATTTATATGGTTCTTCATTTTTTTCGTCCTTTTTGTTTAACAGTCCACTAAGCCGCGTAAACATGTTCGAGAAATAGGTACAAGGACCTACGTAAATTATAAGCCGGAAATTTTAGAGAGATGTTTGAGAGCCATTTCTACAAAATCAATGACTCAACGCGAAGCGTCAGCACACTTCAAAATACCAAGATCGACTATCAAAAATAAACTTAAGAAAAAACATGGTAAGAACATTGGCCGTCCTACAACTTTTAGTACAGCCGAGGAAACTAGCTTTGCGCAACATTGTACTAAACTGGCAGATTTCGGGTTTCCCTTAATCCCCGCGGATTTAAAGTTGTCCATAAAAACTTATCTAGATTCCAAAGGTGTTCGTGTATCACGATTTAAGAATAATACCCCGGGTGATGATTGGGTCTCTGGTTTTTTAAAACGACACCCAGAACTATCGGTCAAAGTTAGTTCGAATATAAAAAAAAGTCGTGCAAAAATCACTGCCGATGATATAAATGATTATATGGACCGTCTCGAAAAAAATTTAGCAGGTATTCCACCCTCACGCATTTACAATTACGACGAAACCAATCTTACTGACGACACCGGCAATAAAAAAGTCTTATGTAAAAGAGGGACAAAATACGTAGAACAAATTTGCAACAGCACTAAGAGCGCTATTTCTTTAATGTTTTGTGGAAATGCGGAGGGGCATTTAATCCCTAATTACGTTGTATATAAGGCGGAAGCATTGTGGACCACATGGACAGAGGGGGGTCCACCGAACACGAGATACAACCGTAGCAAAAGTGGTTGGTTCGACACTAATATTTTCCAAAATTGGTTTGAGTCAACTTTTTTAAAAGAAGTCCAAGGTGGTGGCCCTTGTGCATTAATAGGCGATAACTTAGCGTCCCACATAAATGAACGCGTGATAGAAATATGTGAAGCTCACGACATCAAGTTCATTTGTTTACCACCAAATACTACTCACATTACACAACCCCTCGATATTGCTTTTTTCCGCCCGATGAAAGGGGCTTGGAGAAATATTTTAAGGGAATGGAAAAAAACAAAAATAGGCTCTTGTTTTACAACTCTACCAAAAGATTTATTTCCCAGACTCCTGACCAAATTGATGGAAAAAATTGATATGAATAAAGCCGAGAATTTAAAATCGGGTTTCATCAAAGCTGGCATCTACCCCTTAAACCGACAAAAACTTTTAGACCGGTTGGCAGAAAATAAAGGGGAAATGTTCGACCAAGACTTAATAGGTAATGCTTTTCTCTGCCGCATTCAAAAAGAACGTGAAGATTTTATTGGTGTAGGTGAAAAACAGAGAAAAAAAAAATTACAAGTGTCGCCCGGCGACAGTATTTCCGTCGAAGAAATTCGAAAATCACGCGGAAACCCAGGACCTTCAAATGAAACACCTCAACCAAAAAAGAAGTTAAAGTACGCTGAGTTGCCTTCCTCGAGCGAATCTGATATTGACGGTATTGACACTTTATTAAGTGACAGTGATGATGTTGATCTTGATCCTGATAGTGACAGCGAGGTAGAGGTGGGCAAAAAACATCGATGTTTTCAAAACATCGATGTTTATGGTCGATACATCGATGTTTTAACATCGATGTTTAGTTATTGATACATCGAAGAAAATAACGATGTTTTGCTTCGATGTTTTACCGATGTTTTGAAATTTTTGTAGAACAATTTTGTCTCGCACCAAAACACATGTTTTTTTTTCACTTTTTTTGTTATTAAATTCTTTAATTTTTTTGTGACTTATGTTTGCGATAGAACGGATCGATATCGTATGATCATTGATCAATGGTGTTGCGTCTGATCTAAAGTCTAAACTGTATAATTGTATTCATTTTTAAATAAGTTTAAACATTTAATCTTTTTACGTTTGATTCAAAATGAGTCGAAGCGATGTGTGGAAGTTTTTCGATAAACGAGATAGTAAAACCGCAGTATGCAATATATGCCAAAAGACACTCAAAACATCAGGTAGAGTACCTATTTCCAATATTTTATTAACCTAACCAACATTGATTTCTGTGATGTGGTTAGGTACTATAACAATAATTGTATTTGTATGGATATGAACTGTCAAAGTCAAAACATAAAAATTATTTGGTACAATACTATTTGAAAGCAAATATTTAAATACACAATTAATAAATTATAGCTCTTAAAAAAAATGTACATTTTATCGATCATTTAACTTAATTATTTTTTTAGGTAATACTACTAATTTGAATGGTCATTTAAAAAATGTTCATGGCAATGTTTTATCCGGAAAAGTGAACTCAAAAGTATGTTCGGTGAAACGTACTGAATCTCAAGAACAACACGAAACCCACCCAGACGACCCAGGACCATCTACTACTGCTAAGACTAATATTGATAAATCAACTGAAAACAGTGATAATGATAGTATGGAAAATATGACCCAAAATACATTTATGAGTTCATTTAAAAGGCAAAAAACAATAAATGAATCATTTGCATTTTTAAATTCTTTCAAAGAAGGTGGTCATAAATCTGAAAAAATTTTTAATGCAATAATGTACATGGTGTGCAAAGATAATCAACCACTTAGCATTGTAGAAGATAAAGGCTTTGTTCATTTGATGAATGTTGTTGCACCTAATTTTAAAATTCCAAGTCGGAGGGAAATCTCTCGTAGAATATTTTTAACGTATGATTCAATGAAAAATATGTTTATTGACAAATTAAAAAATGTTCAACACTTTGCGTTGACTACTGATATATGGACAGATATTCAAACAAGAAGTCATATTGGCATTACAATACATTTTGTGGACAACTANTAACATTACTTCAAATAAATTTAAATGTTATATAAAACATAAAATACAAATATTGAAACATTCTTACAACATTATTGCTGTAATGTTTTAAAAATTTTATAAATTTCAATTTAATTTAATATTTAAAAAGTGGACAAAACATGAATATTTAACATTATAGTAACATTCCAGTAATATTATTGTAATTAAATTAAAACATTTCTGTAACATTATATGTTACTTTTGAAATCTTACAGAAATGTTTCAATAACTTTATTTGGCTGTCTGGGTATTGATATAGCATTTGACAAAAAACGTCAGATTATATGTTTTGCTCATGCATTAAATCTTGTAGCTCAGCAAGCCATATCAAATGTTCCTGAACTTGTATCTTTAGTTTCAAAAGTTAAAAATATCGTCAGATGGTTCAAGCAAAGCGTTGTTGCGAGTGACGACCTTAGAAAGGCGACTAAAGGTGATGGGAAACTGCTTCAAGAAGTTCCAACACGTTGGAACAGTACGTTTTATATGTTGGAGAGGTTTCTTTGTTTAAAACAAATTGTAAATGACATTGTCCATAGGCATATTTCTGCTCCAAATATGGTGTCGGCAAAAGAAGTACAAGATATCTCGGACGTAATAGATCTTTTAAGACCAGTAGAAGCTGCAACCAAGGAACTTTGTGCCCAAAAATACATAACTACAAGTAAGGTGATTCCTATGGTGTCTATACTGCAGAAAAATATTAAAGAATTCCAACCAAAACAAGAAATGGGACTTCAGCTAAAATCTGCCATTATTGTACAATGTGATAAACGTTTCTGTTCAGTAGAAAGTTGTTCCCTTTTGGGTATGGCAACTATTTTGGACCCACGTTTTAAAAAAGTTTATTTTAAAGACACCGTTGCATTATCCAAAATGCTGAAGTATATATCTAATGAGATCAAACAATCACAAACCATGAGCTCCGGTGAAAGTTCATCTGATACAGATAACACAAGTAATAATTTTGAATATACAATTTATCATATACAAAATAAATCTGTGTTTTACATGTATGTATAATAATTATTTTTTTTATTTTTCAGTGGTAGAAGAACCTCAGTTGATCAATTTGTGGCAAGATCATGCTAAATATGTTCAACAATCTACCAGCCGTAGATTCCATGGAAGACAGTTACAAGATAGTGAATTTCCCTCCGAATTAAATTTGTACCTGAAAAGCAGTCATGCCCGACTATCAGATGATCCTTTGCTAATATGGAAGGATATGAGCAAAGTGTATCCTATACTATCAAAAGTAGCCATTAAATATTTAGTACCTGTTGCAACGTCTGTCCCTAGTGAAAGATTATTTTCTAAGGCAGGATTGACATTAACTAAACAAAGGAATCGTTTAACTTCTAAACATTTAAATAAGTTGTTATTTTTACAGTCTATAGACGATACTTTATGGTTAGGACGTTAGGTTAGTAAGTTAAGTTTAGTTTTGTTAACCATTTTATGTTACTCGTAAATTAATGTTTTTTTATAATAAAGTTTCTAATTTTTTCTAAATTTAAAAAAAACATTTATTTTGTTCGTAAAATATAAACTAAGTAGTAACTAGTAAGTATTACTTTACTACTAAGTAAGTGGCCCACAAAATGAACCAGCCCATTGGGAAAATTCCCAATTTCCCGATAAGCCAATCCACTACTTGCCATAACTGTAATTAAAGGGCCATAAATTGGTGTGCAAACTGCAAGGCACTAAATGACTTAAATGGTGAATTAATAAAAAAAAAGATAGAAACTTGACCTTTAAAAACTTTTTTTTGGTTATTTAAATTTTTTCATGTTCTGAAAAGTTTTTATGTTTATGTATTAAAAACATCGAAAAACATCGAGGTTATACTCGAAAATCCGATGTATCGACAACATCGATGTTTGAAAAATTTTGCCCACCTCTACAGCGAGGATGTTGATAATCTCGATCTGGCTGTCGCCGAAGCAGAGGAAGAACAACAAGCTTCGAATTACAACGTTGGCGATTTCGTAATTGTACAATTTGAAAACAAAAACTTTCCTGGTCGTATTATATCAATTTTCGATAAAGGCGCAAAAGTAGATTGTATGGAGAAGTTGTCAAAACAGTGGAGGTGGCCGTCCAAAAAAGACTGTATTGACTACGAATGGAGCGACATAATACGCAAAATTCAGCCACCGTTATTGTGTAAGCGCAATTTTTTTAGAGTACCAGACCTTGAAGATTTTGTCTGATAACCTGTCTTCTTTATTTTGTTTAAAGTAAATACAAATTTACTAAGTAAGAACTACTTTTTTTTTAATTTAATGTATTTTTCGAAGAATATAATTTTTTTCCCTTAAAAGGCTGTTTTATTTGTTCATTTAGCTTGTTTTACCATAAAAAATTGGTTTAATCTAATCTCAAGAACTTGCTGATTAATTTGGCATAGGTTAACTTTAGCCCAAAGTAACAGGAACGAAAATATATAAAGGATATTGGAGGTGGGTTAAAATTCCCCCATTGCCGGGAAACATTGGCCCAGATTTTTGAAAAAATTGTTTATACTTAAAAAAATTCAAAAATTCAAAATTAGATTTTGGAAAAAGCATGTCCAGACCCCCACTATTACGTCAATATTTTTTTATTTTCATTTTTTTAATTGCTAGCTAGTTAAAATTAGCCCCAAAGTTTAAAAATGATGAAAAATGGCGCAAAGTATCCCCGGTTTACGGTAGTTTACTATTACAACAAATAGTTTTTGAATAGTGAATTATTTGTTAATGTATAGTTATAACTGTTTCTTTAAGTAGTTTTTAAATAGTGGACTATTTGGTAACATAGGATTTACTGTTGTAAAAAATATTTTTTGGTTGGGTCACATAAACCTCACAATTGAAGAGGGTAGTATTTGTATAGCAGACGATTGGCCACTTATAATTTACTATATTATTGTCTATAATCTATATTATAATAATAATAATACTTTGATAGATTACTATAAGTAGGTATAATGAATTGTTTTATTTATAAACAAAAAATAAATAAAATTTATCAGATTATAAAATAATAAATGATTAAGTATTATTGTAACAAAAGAACTAAAAAAAAAATTTAAAATTATAAAACGTAACAAGTATATTTTAATCCCGTTCAAAAGAATTAACAATTGGTGTAACGTACAGAGTGTCATTATGTAATATCCTATAACATTTAGATTTCAGTTCTTCTGGAAAAAAACATATAATATTATTGCTTAATTTTGTAGTTATAGTAGCAGTCTTCATAACAGGTGAAATATTAATGTTAGGTATTTGAATAAGTTGATGCCCCATTAAAATACTCTTAAAATTACAATTTGTATTAATTCTATATTGCAGCAAATGTGAGATATCTACAAATTCTCCATCTTTAAGTTGAACTGTACTATTATGTCGTTTTTTTAAACGTTGGTATGTTGTAGTGTGAATTAACATACCATCCAGAATAAAACGATGAAATGACTGAAATTCAGTTGTATTCGGTAATGTCTTGCCAATCTTATTTTCTATACATACTTTTTGTTGTAAAGTTAAATTTAAATCTTCAGAGAGAGGTTTACCAAATGTAGTTAACGGTCCTGTTTGAATTGCATTGGTGACATGAAGATATCCACTCAATTTCTTAAACAACTTATTAGCACATGAATATTGAGTAAGTGACTGAGTAGTGGTTATGTCTGAAATCATTACTCTTAAATTTCTTTCAAGTTGATAATTTTTACAAATTTGTTCTGGTACACCTTGTGTACCCTGAAATAGTTTGCATAGAGTACCATTGAAGTGTTAAAAAGGAAATGCAGACCATGCCCACAAACAACCCCACAATTTCACATGTTTTGGTAAGTGTAGTAATAAGTGTACATTAAATTTCAGAAAATGTTCACCATACAAATTTGGAATAGAAGAAACAAATTTATTGAGGCAAAACTCAGCATGATCTATTTGCTCATTATTAATTTTGTTTTGTAGTAAGGTATATATTCCTATGATTAAGTAATTCCAATGTTTATAATATCTTTGAGGCAATACTCTCTGGAGACAAACTGTAGAGGTATATAGTAAAAATGTGCGCCATTCTGAAGCTTTCCATTGTTTTCGATCATGAATACTTCGTGATGTTCTTGTAACCTCGTGTGGTGGCTTTGTATTTAATAAAATATCATCAAATTCTCTAACTTTTCGTCCTAAATACCAAACACAAGTATAATTGGACGAGTCAAACCATGCTTCAACAAAAGTTTTTACTACACCAAGTAATACTGAATGCATATAGTCTGGCACAAAACTTTTAATAATATGAAACTCTTCCAACAGTAAGAGAACTGACGCTCCTTTTACTCCTCTTCTAATACAACCATTCAAGTTTACAAAGTCACAGTCATCTAAATGCTGCTGTAGAGTTCTTTTTGGACCAAGACCACCAATATACATGCGTGATTGACCTCTTCCTACACTCCGAATGACTCCTTCATTAAGGCAAAATGGACATCCAAACTTCCCATTGAATTGTTTTATATTTTGAATCATTGGTCTCGCAACCGAATCAACAGATGAAATTATGCTATGTATTTTAATGTTCGTAAGTAATTTACTAGATGGCTGAATAAAATCTATACCATTATTTTGCAAATCACATAGTTCTTTAGTAAATGGCTCTAAAAATGTATTCATATTAGGTTTGGTGATTGAATACCACAATCCAACTAATAAAATATTTTCCCTTCTATCATTATACGACAATTCGTTAATCATTACTTGGATAGGCCATACTGATATTTTGGAAGACTTGAAAACTTGTATTCCATCTGTATTCCATTGCAAACTTATCCATTTTTCTGCATTATACTTAGCTTTTAGTTTTGTATACATTGTTCCACTGATAACATCATTGATTGTGTCATCATGACTGTAGTCCCAACAAAGTTTGGTTCCAATATTTGTTTCCAATACATTTTTTATTTGATCTTTCAGTGGAAATGTTAAAAAATAACCTGATGATACTTGTAATCTTTTCATATTATTTTCTGTTGAACAATGAGGACATTCAACTTGAGTATTTAATGTATTCATCTCATCTAAGAGTCCATGACAATTTTCACAAATAAAATTTTGTTTTGGGGGATCATTTTTATACTGTTTTAATAAATAATATTTAGATTGATGAACAATACATGGTGTATGACAATTTACTAGATCTATTAAATCATCCAATGCTCTTGCTGTAAATTTATGTCTTAAGGAAAACATTAACAACAAAAGTTCACTTTCTCCCAGTGATATTTTGCACCCTTCATATAAAGGCTTATTTCTGATATTAACTGGCGGGGTTTGAAAAGTCCCATCAGCTTCCTAAAAAAAATATTATGTTTAAGTATGCAATTTCTATAATTTGTTTAGCAGTTCATTATGTCAGATGGTTGTAATATATTAATATTGTGTTAATTTGTTATTATTATTGTAGAAATATCTTCTATAAGTAGGTAATTATGATTTGGAAATATTATTATCATTAGCAATAACAATTAAATACCTAATTAAATTTAAACATTTTAATATGATAAAATATTTAAAAAATGTTGGTACAATATAGGTAATATTATTACTGTTGCTTATTGTAATATATTACAACAATTTATCCATATTATTTGTATTACTTACCGGCAAATCTACATTATCTGTAAAAATATCATCTTCATCAACATCATAGCCATTATTATGTTGGAGAGTATCATTTTCCTGAACAAAATTTAAAAATCATGTTTTTATATTCAAACATCTTAAATGTAACATTTTAAATCAATTTAAAAATAATTAAGTTACTCAATTTTTAATAGGTATTCAATATTATGATGGTAAGTTGATTTTAATTTTTTGTATTAAATGTTTTTTTTACTAAATAATTAATTTTAAATAGTAGGTAATATTTATTTAAGTATAAAAGCTCTAGTTAAGTCAGTTGCCGTAGGTATTATAAATTAAATAAAATTCCAGTTTTTGGGTAGAGTATTTTCTAATTTTCTTTTTTTAAATTATCGTATAATGAATTTAAATATTTACATAGGTATTTCATTAAGTTTTAGATATATATTAGACCTATGTATAGATTTAATTTGAAGTGGTTAATGTACTAATTTATCTAATATATAATTATATATAAGGTGTATTAGGTGTAATTGCACCTTTTGTAGTTACTCCCTTAAAATTATTTAATTTTGTTAATCACCTGTTCTGTATCATTAATGATCATATCATGAAGATCATCATCAGATTTATTGTTTATTTCTTCAACTCTTGAAATGTGCACCTATATTGATCATTGTTTATATTATAGTTAATAAGCTATATAATATACTAAATATATTATTGATTATGTATTAAGAATGTTAGATATAGCAGTAGGTATCTACCGAAACAAATTAAATTAATATGTTTATATTATGTACCTGTTTTGATTGAGACCATCGTGTCTGTCTAGAAACAATTATTGGAGTGTCAGGCTCTGATACATTATGTGTAAGATATTTTTTATATCTTCCTCTTGGCAAGCTGCTATTGTTTTCTGATATTGACATAATTATTTACTATACCTATGTGTTATAATATAATACGTCGTATATTGCATAGTATTACTATTTGTTAAAATGAGTAATAATTTTTAGTTAAATTTTATAATAACTATTTTAGAAATAGTTGTATTATAATTTATAGTCTATAGAGTATAGACTATATTAGAATAAATATAGTACCGTATTATAAAATATTACAATATAATATAATATTATATAATATCTACATACATATATAATACGATACAGCCAATGAGCGCCATCACATGTCCCATACGTAAGTACGTCACAGAATAGAATAACGACGGTTAACCTCAAACCTATATTTTTCGTTATACCACAATTCCATATTTCCATTTTCGCGTCACGAGTTCCGCCGACTCTTTGCATTGCGACTTACGATTTCGAATTGTCATGCTTAATGTATTTAAAGTGTAATATTGTTCTTTCGTAATTCGTTTGTAGTTTGAATAATATTTCTTGTTTAAAAGTATTATAATTTTGTCAAGTTTAAGTGATCTTATATTATTAACTTTTAAAAATGTCAATTTCGAGATTATACAATGATCCAAAATGTGTAGACATATATGATGATTCAAAATGTGGTTTATTTGAGTTCACAAATGAAGAAAATGCCGTCCAAGTAGGATACTTGGGATGGATAACTCCAGACTCGTCCACTATTACAGATTTTATCTTTTACGAAGCATTAATTACAAATAACGCAGATATTGA